AAAAAAAAAAAAAAAGAGCCATTGCACAGTCAACACTACCGAGCCGAAACTAGAGGACAACCAATCGGCCCCAAAGAAAAGATCAAGATCCAAGAAATCACCCCGCAAACTGCCGAACTGCCTAACACAAGACGAAACTCAAACCTCAATACTCAACGGGAGGCCGACCCACCCAGCGGCCGGAGAAACGCCGACAGCACCCCCCACACAACCGTTGTCCCGAACCCGCTAACACCACTAGCGGAATCCAGGAAACACCAGCCCCCCACCCATACCCAGCACCAGAGCACGAATGGTGAATGGGCGAACTAGAATTTCATCCCCGACGACGACGACGACATAGAGGTCGCGCGTTGTTGAAACACTCAATTTTGGGGGAGAAAATTCTTGCCATTTTCATATATCATAAGAAAATGCAGAAAAGGACATACAGGACTTTATATAAACGTACGCATGCAAGAAGAATAAAACTGCGTCGTGTGGTACAACCAAATCGACGTCGTCCAACTAAACACACTTAAAAGAAAAAACAAGTAAAGCGTGGCAGCGGTTTTACTGAAAGGAAAACCAATGAAAACAACATAAAACGAAAGAGAAAATTTGTGCAATGCACATGCATTTCAACACCCCCTCCTCAAGTTGTGCAGGGGAAATGAGAGACCATGCCCAACTTGCCAGTAAGACTCTTGAATCGCGACCCACTGAGCAACTTGGTGAAAAGATCCACAAGTTGTTGATGTGTGGAGATGTGCTGAGGAAGTACAAAGCCAGTCTTTAACTTATCTCTCACAAAGTGGCAATCGATGTCTAAGTGTTTAGTCCTTTCATGGTAGACTGTATTAGCACTGATGTGAATGGCAGCTCTATTATCACACAACAGAGGTATAAGATAGACTAGATCAAGATGAAGATCTTTAGCTATGTAGGAGATCCATAGAAGTTCTGAAACTATAGAACTTAAAGCTCTATACTCAGCTTCTGCACCCACCCAGAAGCCCCACAGCACCACGGTGGCCCTCGAAGCAGATCCCTTGCCAGAATCAGCAAAAAGGGCAAATTTGATTGTGGATTTCCTACAATCGCCACCAGCGCGAAAGACGGGAGGAGGCGCAACATCATTCGGATGACCATGAGGCCAGGGCAGACCAACGGCTAAGGCCCAACGCCTCTGTGGAAGGCAATTGATGGAGGGGCGAAGAAGCTAAGGAAGAGAGGCGAGAGAGGGTTAGGGTTAGAGAGAGAGAGAGAGAGAAAGAAAGAGAGAGAGAGAGAGCAGTGGTCTCTATAGATTACCCACATTTTTTTTTCGAAACAATAGGTTTATAAACGAAAACATATAATTACAACCGGCTGACAACCGGAATAAGAGCTGCTCAAGAAGATTTGATTAGTCAGAAAAAGTGTGTGTATTATATATTTATTAGCGTATTTTTATATGCTTACTTTTTATCGCACTTATATATTTTTTGACTTATTTATTTATTATATGGATTTAGATACTATGATATATTTATAATTTATTTTCAGGATATTAGAGTAATAATACAGACACGGTACGTTGAAGAGGAAGTTGCACCATAATAAGGATAATCAAGGCCTATATTGAATAGTGGGCCCATGGTGACATTTGCCTGAATATAAAGTCACGCATGGAATGGCTTGAAGTTGGAAAGAGAATTAAAAGTTAAAAGGCCATGTAGGCCCACTAACGATTTTAATGTGAAGGATGAACACTTTGAAATAAATAAGCAGCCATCAGGCATATTTACGGGATATCGAGAGGAACAGAAAAGAAGCCGCCACGCAGCAGAGAAAAAATAAAAGGAGCCACGAACAGAACAGAACACACGAAAATAACAGAGCAGACGAGAAATTCGACGGAAGCGGAGGGAAGCCGCACCGCACAAGAAAGAGGATAATTCTATTCTCTTTCTTTTATTTTTATTTTTATTTATTATGTTAGAGTAGCTTTTCTTTCTAGTTCCGGGGATGTCGAACCCTACGACTTGATGAAGTTTGATTAACTTTTTTGGTTGATAATTTAATTATCTTTTTGGAATTGCTTGTGTTATTTTGAATAATTAACCATGATGTGTTGAGTTTGATTTAGATTGATCACCTAGATTAGGCGTTGCATATCTACATCTGAATTAGACCTTCAATCCGTAATTGTTGTTGTGTTTAATTCCTAAGAGGTAACCGGAAGATGCTAACTACCGGGGATAACACGGCCTAATTAAGTGAACGAACGCAGTTGAGTTCACTAATTAGTCTAGCCTATTTTTCTAATTCGTAAAGCGGCTAATTGTATTAAATCTTGACAGCGTCTTTCTGGACTGTACAAGAAGTCAGATTTAATCGTAGAGCGTCTCGCGGTTAGATTAAAAATAAGGAAAAATTCAGGTAACAGACCGTGTCGTTACCTAGGGCTAGTAATTTCATAAGATAACGAGATTTGATACCAAAATTGATTAGACGAGTCAGATGAGGGTGTACACGGAACCGTGAACTAGAACATTCTCTTATTTATTTTATTTTATTTTTATTTTCATTGTTTAAATTTTATTTTAGTTAGTTTAGCTATTAAATCTCGATCCCCTCTTTTTTTTATTGCTTTTATATTTCAATTAATACGAAAAAATTCACAATTTGATTCACACTCTCTGTGAGTTCGACCCTTGCTCGCTACTACTACTAGTTAGTAGAGGTTGGTCACGGAAAAATATAAATTTTAATTTTGCCGCGTTGCGACGCGCGGTCAAATTTTGAGTCCTGATTTGTTTGGGGAGATTTGATTAGTCGGAAAAAGTGTGTGTATTATATATTTATTAGCGTATTTTTATATTCTTACTTTTTATCGCACTTATATATTTTTCGACTTATTTATTTATTATATGGATTCAAATACTATGATATATTTATAATTTATTTTCAGGATATTGGAGTAATAATACAGACACGGTACGTTGAAGAGGAAGTTGCACCATAATAAGGATAATCAAGGCCTATATGGAATAGTGGGCCCATGGTGACATTTGCCTGAATATAAAGTCACGCATGGAATGGCTTAAAGTTGGAAAGAGAATTAAAAGTTAAAAGGCCATGTAGGCCCACTAACGATTTTAATGTGAAGGATGAACAGTTTGAAATAAATAAGCAGCCATCAGACATATTCACGGGATATCGAGAGGAACAAAAAAGAAGCCGCCACGCAGCAGAGAAAAAATAAAAGGAGCCACGAACAGAACAGAACGCACGAAAATAACAGAGCAGACGGGAAATCCGACGGAAGCGGAAGGAAGCCGCACCGCACAAGAAAGAGGATAATTCTATTCTCTTTCTTTTATTTTTATTTTTATTTATCATGTTAGAGTAGCTTTTCTTTCTAGTTCCGGGCATGTCTGTTGAGTATAAATTTGGGCATGTGGTAACCGAGCTACCCGACTCGGGTCGTTCTCAAAGGAAGGCTATTCGGAGCTTCGTTCACTACCTAGTCGTCAAAATCACACAACCAAAAAGGTCCTAAACATTCTACTCGCAAATTGGGGATTTGAATTAAACTAAGCTAATCTACAAAATTAAAATCGAAAGCAAGTAAAGCACGCAAGAAGATTAGAGAAATCAAGGGGGAAAGAGAGATTTTGGTTTTCCGGAGTCTCCATGATCAATCACACGCAAATAACCGAACATTGTCATGCTAGCTAAAACCCTAGGAAGCTAAACCCAACTCTAGCACCAGACGAGCAAGTATTCAACTCCTAATCACACTTAGTCAAGCATTCATGATCCAAAGCAACAACCTTTTCTTCCAAAATCACAAGCACTATATCAATTTACCAAAGCAATAAAGATATACGAGGTAATGGGGCTTAAGACTAAGTTACCCACTCCAACATGCACTCGGGAGAAGAAACGGAATCAAAAGCTTGAAACTTTGCTCAAAACAATGTCGCCGGAAATTCACCGGAAAACTTGATTCATAAGCTCCAAACCAAAGCATAAAAAAGGAAAAAAGAAAATACAGAGGAATTCCCAACTTAAAAGTTGGGAAAAATGAGGGTTGTTTCCAAAAATACAAAGCATAATGTCTACTTATA